CGGCCACGGCCCCCCCCCGCCCCCCCAGCAATGATGTCCGGGACAGTCGGGGAGGAAGCCGCGGAGAGCCTCCGGAGGGCGCCCGCTTGCAAAAGCAGGCTGGCTTGCAGGCCAGGAGGCGCTAGGACCCCGCGGGCTCCCCCGGCTGATCCGCTGCAGTGAGTCGTCCGGGCGTGGTAGATCCCGCCGGAGATCCACCGCCCGCCGGACAACTTGCCCCGAGGAGCCTTTGGCAGCCAAGGTAAGCCGGCGGGGGGGGCCGGGGAGGCTTCTCGGGAGTTGGGGGCTCGCGGGTCTTTTCCCCCCTCTGCGCTGGATCCCGCTGGATTCCTGGGATCCGCTCGCCGGACCGCGGGAGGAGATCGGCTTCCTGCTCTGGCCGACTCCGGCCTGGCCTTCTGGGACCAGTTCCAGAGCGCTCCGCTCCCCGGGATCAATCGTGGATCGCTTCTCCTGCGCCCTAAGCGGAGGGGATCTCCCCTAGATCCCTCCTGGTTAGGGTCCTCTGGCTCTTTGGATCTCCTGGAGCCTCTTCCGCTCTGCTCCCGATCGCTCGCCTCGCCTTATTTGGGGGCGCAGAGGGAGCCGGGTGCCTCGCACGCAGCTGTTGGACTTCGGGTCCCATCAGGCCCAGCCAGGGGGAACTGAAGAGTACCAGGCTGGGAACCCCCGTTTCAGGTGTCTCCTTCTTCTCTTCCCCTTAACTTGGACTCCTTCACTTCTTTGGACTCCCCACTCCCATCAGCCACAGCCAGGAGTGATGGGTGTCGTAGTCCAACCTCTTCCAAGGATCCACCACGGTCCTTGCTTAGATCTACACTGGGCTCCCCCCTAACAATCCTTCATTTGTTTGGACTTCCCCACTCCCATCAGCCACAGCCAGCGGGCAGGAGTGATGGGAGTTGTAGTTCAACTTCTTCCAAGGAGCCACTATAGTCCTAGCTTAGATCTACACTAGGACCAGTGAAATGGAGAGAAGATGGCCATGGCAAATGACAGCCGGCCCCCATAGAGGCCAAAGTGGGTGACCCCCAATTGGGCTCCCTGCAGGGACTCCAAGACCCATGAGCGCAAACCGTTGCACCCCTGGTGGAGTTGGTGCCTTGCCGTTCTGCGAGAGGATTGCTTGCTTGGGCTTCCTTCCCAGTCTGCATCTCCCTTGCCAAGTTTCAAAGCGGGGGACTTCAACTCCCAGAATTCCCCGGGCCATCAAGGGGACTTCTGGGAATTGCAAGTCTCCCTGGGGAATTCTGGGAGTTGAAGTCCACAACTCAGAAAAGTCGCCGCACGCTGCATTCTTTGGTGCGTAACGAAGGCTTGGTTTGAAATGGTGTCGAACTACACAATCTTTTTCGTGTCTTAACAGGTTGGTAACCGACCTAGTGTGAAATTCTCTTTATTTCCGTGTTTCTCAACCTTGGAAACTTTAAGACGGGTGGACTTCAACTCCCAGAATTTTATTTTTATTTTATTTATTTTTATTACATCTTAAAGCCACCAAGGTTGACAGACACTGGTTTATTGGATGTCGCTTCTCCGGTGATCCTAGTGACTGAGTTTGCATGGCCCATTAAACAACTCTCAAGTTAAACCAGTTCTCCTTTTTTTCTGTATATTGTGCAAACCGGATGGTGCAGGTACTCCACGCTTGGATGCAAACCGAGGGCGCTGTGTGGATTGAGTAAACTATAAGTAAACCCTGGCTTGCAAGTCCAGTTATATGACAGCTTTATTTGTTTAGTACCTGAAGGGGGTATGGTTCTTTTGTATAGTGATTTTTTTCCCTGCCACACCCATCTGATGGGTGGGGGGGATCCAGGAAGGGCTGGGAGGGGAAACTGAGTCTTGGGGGAGGGGGAGCCCTCATTTCTTGGCAGAGAGCCTGGTGAGTGGAGTCCAGCCTTCTCAAGGGGAGGGAACTGCCTGGGGAATATATCTGAAGGGCTGAGCTGGAAGGGATCCAAGAGACCTTATAGTCTGACCCCTTACTCAGTCCAGGAATCCATACTACATCATTTGGAGGTGGTAGATTTGGACAAAATCTTTCTCTCTGCTAGTAGATTGTTGTTGATGGCTTTATTTAAAAAATAAATTCTGCTTTGATTTCAGTCCACTTGATGGTGACCAGTTGGTTCTCTGCCCCATATGGGTAGTCCTTGACTTACGACCGCAATTACGGTTGTAATTTGACTCTAGATGAAATGAATTGTCCAAGGAATGAACGAACGAACGAACGAATGAATAGTGCTGGCTGTTAAGCGATTTGTCACATGACCCTGGGCAATTTTGCCACCTTATTTTGCAGCGGTCGTAAAGTGAACCTCCCGGTCATTAAGCAAACGGCTTGTTCACGGGAGGGGGTGTTTTTCCTGCAAACGGGAAGTAAAGGCGGGTCCTCATTCAAAACATCGTAAATCATATGACTGCAGGATGTAAAATGGTCTAGGGTTTCCTGCCTAAGCAGGGGGTTGGACTAGAAGACCTCCAAGGTCCCTTCCAACTCTGCTCCTCTATTCTATTCTAATATAAAACGTGGGCCCGAAATGCTGGTCACAGGTCCGTCGGGTGGGATAGGCAGCTGTGAGAACTTCAAATCTGGGGTGGGCGTGGGGGGGTTAGTCGTAACTTTGAACGGTCGCTATGCCACCGGTCGTAAGTCCAGGACCACCAGTGATTGACATGGGAAGCCAGTCCTTTTTTTCTCCTAAATGCGGGAGGTTTAATTGTTAGCTAGCTAGTGTATCCAAGAATGAAAAGTGTATCCAAGAATTAAAAGTGAGATTTTGCCTCTGATGCATGAAGGGAAGGAGGCGGATTCATTGTGGCAAGGGAGGAATTTCCGTGTAGCTTTTACACATTAAAGCAGGGTCTCAGTTTTGGCAACTTTGAGACATTTTGACAACTTGGAGGAATTATTATTTTCCCCCGTTTAACTCTTTGGACGAAAGAGCCTTTCGGGAGTTGTGGCCACTTCCTCCAAGAGGCACTGACTCATTTTTTTTCATCAGAAACAAGAAGAATCTTTCGTCATGAATCATCAAAATGTTAAAGATCTGACATATTTTAAAAGCTTTCCTCTTTTTCGCAGGGGACTCTGCACAGCCATTGACTCTCCTGCTCCTTTCTTTCTGGAGCTTTTCTTTCTTGGATAAATATTATTCATTTCTCTGTAAAATTTATGAGCTGACGGTCTTGCCACGCAGTAGTAACTCTTTTGTTGCCCTCTGTTTCCACAGGAGACGACAGTCTGCTCTAAAAACACCATGTTTTCTATTTCTTTTTTAAAAAATGGTTTTGCTTTGCGTATTGTTTTCTCTCTGTTTTTCTTTCCTTCAACTTGCAAATAAGTAACTATACAGAATTAAAATACACAGTAGTTAGGCAAAAACTCCAGGTGTACTGCACCATATTAAAACTATGATAATTTACCATATCTTCTCTCTCTCTCTCTCTCTCTTTCTCTCTCTCCCTCCTCTCTTTCTCTCCTCTCTCTCTTTCTCTCTCTCTCTTTCTCTCTGTATCTGTCTCTCTCTCTCTCCCTTCCCTCTCTCCCTCCTCTCTCTTTCTCTATCTCTCTCTCTCTTTCTCTCCTCTCTCTTTCTCTGTATCTCTCTTTCTCCTCTCCCTCTCTTTCTCTTCCTCCCTCCCTCTCTTTTTCTCTCTCCCTCTCTTTGTCTCTTTTTCTCTCCCCCCCCCTCTCTCTCAACAGGTCCCCTGCATTAAATCCTATTTCTTAGCCCTTCCTGAAAATGTTCCTTGTCAAAAACTTCCTCGGAGGCGGTGGTGGCGGAGGTGGCGGAAATATCAATATTGGAAATGTCATCGGAGGATTTTTAGGTGGGGGAGGGGGTGGGGGCGGCCAAGGAGGAGGAGCCATGAAAATTCTGGGCGGAGTCATCAGTGCCATCAGGTGAGTATGCTGTCTTTCTAAATTATTTTACTTTATTTTATTTATTATTTATTTTGGTTTTTTGGAGATTACCCATCTCACTCACAGAGAGACTCTGGGAGATGTACAATAAAAGGGGAAATATTTAGCATTATATTATTGCACTTGTATTTTATATTAGAACGATAAGGATTTGTTATTTTCCTGGTTGCGTTTGGTGAGTCTGAAGTACTTTCCACGCCTCCAAGAAGGGAAGTTTCCTAAATCATAGTTGGCACTTTCTTTTCGGTGATATGCTACATAAAGGTGTTGCAAACATGGAGGCTTAAGCTTAAAAATAAACACAGAACCTTATGGTCTAGCAACTTGCATTATGAGATGTTGCATTTCGGGTTCTTTGTGCCAATATGAGCATCTTTAATTCTTCCCTTTATGCGCCCAGCTCTGTGTATCTCAACATGCGGAGAAAGCTGAAATTGGGAAGGTTGCATCCCAGCCAGATTCACACGCAGCCTGATTTCTGTACCAGAAGTGGAGGCTTACCTGTATTCGACCCGCACCTTAATTTAATCTTTTATGGAAAGGTGTAAGGGGAAAATAATGGGGACCCCCTCTTCTAGCACAGTAAAGTTTGGGGAGCGGCTGAGTGCAGGTATGCTCACAATCAGGTTTTTCCCCTGACAAAGGAAAGTAACTTAGGAGTCACCAGATCTCCAGTTCTGTTCTCTGCTTTTGGAATTAGCCGTGGCTTAAGAGGGGGGTGAAGGACCAGGATGATGGGTTGGAGTTTGGGTTTGCAGACCCCTTGCCCACCACATTTTATTTTTTATTTATTTATTTGATTTGTCAATTGTTTACAAGATAATAAGTATAAGTGTATACATAGTTATGAATACATGAAATGGGTACATATAAGAAAAATAAAAGAAAAATAAAAGAAACAATAGGACAGGGACGGTAGGCACGTTGGTGCGCTTATGCATGCCCCCTACAGGCCTCTTAGGAAAGGGGTGAGGTCAATAGTAGACAGTCTAAGGTTAAAGTTTTTGGGGTTTGGGGAAGAGACTACAGAGTCAAGTAGAGTATTCCAGACATTGACCACTCTGTGGCTGAAGTCGTATTTCCTGCAATCGAGTTTGGTGCGATTAACCTTGAGTTTGTATCTATTGTTTGCTCTTGTATTGTTATGGTTGAAGCTGAAGTATTCATTGACAGGTCACTTTGCAAACTCCCTGCCCTCCCCTCCATCCGTCACCTTGCAGACCCCTTGCCCAACACTTGCCAACTTGCAAACCCCTTGCACACACACCTTAAATCGCCTTGCATCCCCCTTGCCCTAAATCACACTCCCCGCTTATTTCACCCTCTCCACTTTTGACTTCAGTGCCTCTCAGGAAACAGGGCTGGGAAACGAAGCTGAGTAAATTATGCAAAGGTGCTTCCTTTTTTTTTTTTTTTGCATCTGGGTCTATTGCCATGGGACGACACCCAGGGTGATCCCAGTTACGAGAAACTTCTGCTGGGTTTTTGTTTACGGCCAAACCGGTTTTTTTAGCCTTGCAACAAAAAATGAGGCAGCTGCCATCCAACCACCAAGAACGCTGAGTTGAAATTCAGGTCAGCATTTCCAGATGGCTGAAATCCCCAGTTGCACAAAAGGTGGTGGTGGGAGATAACGGATTGGCATTAAAAGAAGCAATCTGGGGGGGGGGTGCTGGGATTTCCTTCTGTTCTTGGTGCTTGAACAGAGGGGAAGGCAGGGAATTTCTGGCAGAAGAAAATGCTGGTTTGCAGGACCCCCCTGTTTCCTGAACGCCTGTTCCCACGTGATAATTTCCTGCAAAAAACTGCTACAACAGGAAGTGGTCTGGGATTATCTCTGATTGCTCGATCAGTTACCGTAGAGCAGTATTTCCTCTGTCATTTTAAGATGGATGGACTTCAACTCCCAGAATTCCTTAGCTGGTGAAGTCCACCCAGCTTAAAGTGGCGGAGACTGAGAAGCGCTGAATTAGAGAAAGTTGCTTTTCTTCTTTCAGTTTTCTAAGTACATTTCTGTACGGTTCTATTTCACCCTCAGTTATTGAAAAGAGCAGCAGGGCTGGTTGGAAGATGGGTTTTGGGGAGCAAAGTCTCTTTCCGAGCGCCCGACAGTTGCACCCTCCCAGGGTTTTCCATGCAATATTTATTTATGTATTTGATTTTAATCTCTCCTTTATTATTTATAAGTAGCTCGGGGTGGTGAATATACATGACACTCCTTCCTCCTGCTGTTCTTCCCATGGGGTGGGCTGAGAGAAGAGGGACTGGCCCAAAGCCTCCCAGCTGGCTTTCATGCCTAAGGCAGAACTAGGACTCACTGTCGCCTGGTGATTGGTCCAAAGTCACCCAATCAGCTTTCATGGCTGAGGTGGAACTAGAACTAATCATCTTCTGGTGATTGGCCCAAAGCCACCCAATCAGCGTTCATGGTTGAGGTGGAACTAGAACTCACTGTCACCTGGTGATTGGCCCAAAGCCACCCAATCAGCATTCATGGTTGAGGT